ATTCAGGAGGGATAAATTCAAGGTCATATTTTGGTTCTCTTAGACTTGTTTTCATTTTCTTCAGTTTCAGTTTGAATTTGCATATCAGTAATTGGTGGCCTTCCTTATTTATTGTCAAATTGAAAGTATCTATCACGATTACTATGTTGAAATCCTACAGACAGTTGCCAAACCTTCTGAGCTGACAGTGATGCCTTGAATTTAACAACCAGAAGACCCTCCCTCCCCCCAGAAGCCACTTAAAATCCCAGGCCTTTGTTTTGAAGGCCCTTCATGGGAGTAAGACAAATATGGTATTGAGAGAACGTATCTGCAGCCATCCACTAATCACAGAGACACGTTTAATAAACATTTTTTGTTTGGGGAGAAAAAAAACCTATGCATGAATGAACTAGAACCCTAGCAGAAATACTTTTTGACTTACCCTTGTATTGAAATCACATAGTGTGTTGACTTCAAGCTCACTTTCATGGATTTTTATTTATCTGGAACCAAATCTTTCCCTTCTTTCATTTTTAAAGTGTTTCACAATGACCAAGCGATCCATACCATCTCTGGATGCTGAGTTGACTTTTAAGCTCTTGTGAATGATTAGAAGGGATATTTGGAGCAAGTGAAAAAGTTACATGGACTCTTACATCTTATTTTAATTTTTTATTTGAAACTACATCAAAGGCAGAGGTGACAACATAGAGAGACAGAGCAGCTGAGGACTTTAGACTCATGTAAAGAAAAAGGCTGTGTGCTGGGGGTCAGGAGGCTGCTTTACAGAATGTGCCCTCTGGTTGCTTAAATGGCTTTTGTGTACATGAAAAAAAAAAAAAAAAAAAAAAAAAAAACCCCAGAGGGAATAGAAGCAAATACTGTTAAATGGTGATGCCTGGAGAGGATTGTAATCATTGTAATGAAACAAAATATGACAGAATGAGTATAAAACCGATGTTCTCCCATGTAAACTATCACTCAATTCACAATAAAAACTTTTAAAAAGAATACACCCAAATAAAAACTAGAAAGAATAACATAGCATGTGCACCCTTAGTGTCAACAATTATGACTTTGCCTTATTTCATTGAAACCCACACCAACTTCTCCTGCCCCTTGGTGATTCTGAAGCTGGCCTCATATGTATTTATAAAAGAGAATGACTTTTAAAAACAATTACTACCATCCAGATTTGAAAAATGAGCAGTAACTCCTTAATACTATCCAGAAACCAGTGTCTCCATTTCTCCCATTCCCTATCAGCCACAAAGACCAACAGCCTGGGCACCGTCTGGTGGTGTTTAATGCCATCAAGTCACTGCCAACCGACGGGGATCCTGCATAGAGTTTCCGAGGATTGATTGGTGGGTTTGAACGGCTGAGCCTGCAGTTAACAGTCCAGTGTTTACCTACAGAGCCACACCAGGACCCTACCCTAGGCACTAGTGAACCGAAATGGACAGGTATTGACCATTTGGAAGCCATATGGCTACTATACCGGCAAGGAATAGTGTGGTATTTGGCACAGCGAGCTAATGCTCTGGACTAAAAAGTTGGTTTGAACCACAAGGTCCGCGGTTCAAGCTCACCAGCTGCTCCTTGGACCCCCTATACAGGGTCGCTATGGGTTGGAATCTGACTCGACGGCACTTAACAACACCACAACAACAATCAGACCTCAATGCACAGTTTACTTTTCATGAAAAACAGATTTGAATGCTATCTTGAAAAGCACTCACCTTTCATACGTGAATGTCTTGTTCAGCACAGGGCGACCAGGATGGCTACACTCCACCAAGATGGTCTCCTTAGAGAAAGAGGAGAACACAGTGCTATGACCCGAGACTGGCCAACTCCAACCAGCCACCTGTTTGTATAAATAAAGTTTTATTGGAACACAGTCCTGTGCATTTCCTGACGATTTGTCTCTGGGTGCTTTTTCACTCCTCAGTAGAGTCCTGCTGTGACAATGTAGGATGAGCAATGGAATGCTAACCACAAGGTTAGTGGTTCAAACCCACAAGCCACTCATTCGAAACCCTATGCAGAGTTGCTGTGAGTCAGAAACTACTCAGTGGCTACATACAAGAATTGGGTAGGGGATATAGAAACCACATAGCCCACAAAGATTATGCTATTTACAGAAAAAGTTTGTGAACCCGTGATATAGATAATAAAGTCAAATCGATTTAGTAACCGCAACAGGATTCTCCGATCTGCAACAAACGTAGGGTTCAATCTGCCTTGGTTCCTGATCCCACAGGAAGCTGATATTTCAAGGAAAGTCCAGCATATTCACAGAGTAAAAAAATCACATAAACTTTCACTCTAATGGGTGGAACACAAAGGTCTGTTTTAAAAACCAACATCTGATGTTGTGTTGCAGGATAATGCACTGGATCACAAAGTCAGTTTGAACCACAAGGTCAGTGGTTCAAACCCACCAGCTGCTCCTGAGAAACCCTCTACAGGGTCACTATGAGTCATAACCAGCTCAAGCTGAGGAAACTAAAGAAAAAATTCAAGCTTCAACTTGAAATATTGAAGGATTCTATGGACAAAATATTGAATGATGCAGAAAGCATCAAGAGAAGCCAAACGGGATATACAGAGTCACTGTATCATAAAGAAATGGTAGATATTCAATCATTTCAAGAGGCCACATATGATCAAGAACCAGGAGTACTGAAGGAAAAAGTCTGGGCTGTACTGAAGGCATTGGAGAAAAGCACAGAATTGCCTTATGTTCATCAACTGCCTGCAGGAATGGATGGAATACAAATTGGAATCTTTCAGCAAACTGAAGCAGCACAGGAGGCACTCACTCATCTCTGCCAAGAAATTTGGAAGACAGCTCCCTGGCCAACTGATTGGAAGAGATCCATATTTGTGCCCATTCCAAAGAGAGATGACCCAACTGAATGTGGAAATTATCAGACAATATCATTGATAGTGCATGCAAGTAACATGTTGCTAAAGATAATTTGAAAAACGACTGCAACAGTGCATTACCAAGGAAATGCAACAAATTCAAGCTGGATTCAGAAGAGGACTTAGGGAAACCATTGCTGACTTCAGATGGATCTTGGCTGAAAGCAGAGAATACCAGAAAGATATTTACTTGTACTTTATTGATTATGGAAAGGCCTTTGACTGTGTGGATCATGGCAAGCTGTGGACATCACTGCAAAAAACAGGTATCCCAGAATGCTACATTCTGCTCAGGAGGAAGCTGTACAAAGACCGAGAGGTAGTCGTTAGAAAAGAACAAGGAGATATGAATGGCTTCAAATGAGGAAAGGTGTGTGCCAGCCTTGTGTGCTTTCACCATCTTTATTCAATCTGAAGGTTGAACAAATAGTCTGAGTAACTGGATTATTTATATGAAGAAGAATGTGACATCAGGATTGGAGGAAGACTTATTAAAAATAGTGAAATGCAGATCACACAACCTCACTTGTTGAAATCAAAGAGGACTTAAAGTAGTTGTTGATGAAGATCAGTATGGGTTGCAGCTTAATGTAAAGAAAATAAAAATCCTTACAACTGGACCAATAGGTAACATCATGCTGAATGCAGAAAAGATTGACATTTTCAAAGACTTCAGTTTGCTTATATCCATCACCGGTGCTCATGGAAGCAGCGGTCAAGAAATAAAGGACATATTGCCAGCAGTTTGTGAGGTAGCAAACCAAAAGGTTGGGGGTTCAATTTCACCCCACAGCTCCATGGGAGTAAGCCTGGAAATCTACCCCCATAAAGATGACAGCCTAGGAAACTAGAGGGGGCAGGTCTGTTCTGTCAAATGTGGTTGCCACGAGTTGAAATCAACCCCAGGGCATCCAATAAAACAGTGGGATTTGGCAAAAAATTGGAGGCTATTTGTCCCCAGCATGAAGTGTCCAGCAGAGCTGATGGCCAGACAAGAGGCAGAATCAGTGCCTGTGGAAAACCCCACTTTGTCTTGGTCCTGGGGCCCCTCAGCTCCCCACGTAGTCACTACATAAGGGGGAGGGTGGAGAGTCACTAACAGAGATTTCATTTCTCTGATTCGTGATAGAGTCATGTCCCAGGTTCTCTTCCCACCGTCCTTTCAAACAAGCTAAGGACAGGACCCACCTTCCCGGCTGTACATGTGGGCTCTGGCCCCTGCCCTCCAGCACACTTCTGCTGTTCTGTTCCCTGGCCCTGGCGGTAATCCCATGATGCTCTGCCCAAGGGCAACCTTAGAGCCTCAGTGTGAACCACACAGGGATCCAGACCCCAAAGAGTGTTATTACTACTGTCAAATTCCTAAGTCTTACCGTAAAGGAAAACAGAGGAAATGCTCAAGTTTCCAACGTCTCACCCCAAAGCTCAAGAGACGCCATATAAGGAACATAGCAAGCAATCAAAGCCAGCCCAAACTGAAAGGTCCCCATGGCTACTTGGAATTTCCCTCAACAGCAGGATTATTCCAATTACTCTTCAACCAATGTCGGAAATGATTCCAAGAGCAAGTTTAAGTTTTCAAAGCACAGCTTATAAACTCTTTTCTGCTTACACAAGCAAATACCACCTCATATACAATTCCAAACAATCCTTCTTCTCACAAATAAGATTCATTCTCATCAGCCTGTTTTAATAATACCCCTTTCCCCCAAGTCTTCAAGGAGCCTGGTGGTGCTATTGGTTAGGCATTGAGCTGCTAACCACAACAAGACTGGCAGTTCAAACCCATTAGCTGATCCTCAGGAGCAAGATGAGGCTGTCTTCTCCCCTTAACATCTACAGTCTCAGAACCCTATACAGGGTCGCTATGAGTTGGAATCTATTCGTTGGTAGTGCTTGCCCTAGTCTTTGGGCACCCTTTCTGCCTAGCTGAGAATTACCCAGATCTGGGCAACTTCCCCGAGCAGGCATTGGGATTAAGAGACCATTTAGATCAAGGGGACAGGTAGTCTCATGATTGTTTTAGTATCAATAGCTTTGTAAGTTCTATCTTTATTTGTCCTCAGACACTGAAGACATTACATATAAACTTATGGATACGTTTGAATACATATATACATTTTAAAAACACACAAATCATCCAACCTTTGCTCTGATAGTATGGAAGAACTAGATGGCGCTGGCTTTTGTTCCGTTGGGGACAGAACTCTAGTTGTGGAAGGTTCTGGACCATCTGGAGTGTCCCTGGAGATGGGGGCAGTGTTTCTAGTCAGAAATTAGTGAGAGCTGTCTGTTTGTCCTTTACTTTTCTTCCTTCATATGTTTCAAGGTGTCACCTGACTGCTTCCCAAAGCTGCCTGCCTGTCAGCAAAGTGATCAGCATTTGGGTCCATGTTTTCAAACCACTGAAGCACCTGATTTCATTCAGAAAATAAGATTCATAAGACAGTGCTCTGAGCAGTGAGCCAAACAGTGAACAGCTGAGAATGATGTCATCCGCAAATTAAGCAACACTGTATGCAGAATATATTGTTGTTGTTGTTAGGTGCCATCGAGTTGGTACTGAATCATAGTGACCTTATGCACGGCAGAACGGAACTGCCCGATCCTGGGCCAACCTCACAATTGTTGTCACGCTTAAGCTCATTGATGCTGCCACTTTGCCATTCCATCTCACTAGGGATCTTCCTCTTTTTCTCTGGCCCTCCGCCTTACCAAACATGACATCCTTCTCCAGCGACTGGTCCTTCCTGACAATACGTCCAAAGTATGAGAGATGAAGTTTGGCCATCCTGGCCTCCAAGGAGCACTCTGGCTGTACTTCTGCCAACACAGATCTGTTGGTTCTTTTGTCAGTCCATGGCACTTTCAATAGTCTCTTCCAACATCACAACTCAAAGGCATCAATTCTTCTACGATCTTCCTTATTCACTGTCCAGCTTTTGAAGCATATAAGGTTATTGAAAATACCATGGCTTGGGTCAGGCGCACCTTGGTCCTCAAGCTGACATCTTTGCTCTTCAACATTTTTAAAAGGTTTTATACAGAAGATTTGCCTAATGCAAAATGTCATTTGATTTGA